GGACAACATCCGCGGTGAGGACTACACGGTCAAGAAGGGCGACCGCCTGGTGCAGGCCGTGTCCTTCAAGGGCGACAGTATCACATTCGAGGTACGTGGATAGCTGACACATGACACATCGACGTGTCTTCGTCCACCCTTGATCTCCCCGATTGTCTTGTGTGTCAGATGGTAGATGAGCTGGATGCGACGAGCCGAGGTCAGGGCGGGTTTGGCAGCACGAGCGTCACGCCGACCATTAGCAACACGGACGAGACCATGGCGGCCGCCAAGCGCCCATTTGATGCTATCAGTCCGCCGTTATGATTGGCCAATTTGTCCGGCTAAGAGAAAGGCGGGACCTCTGCCCACAGCTTGTCTACATACCTCGCCCACTCAGGGTTCTCCTCAAGGTACTTTTTGACCTCAGGCAGCTGGTCTTCCTCCCTCACCCCCTCAGGCAGGGGGATCATCCGTATCATCTGAATCGCCCTGTGGCTCATCTGCCCAGCCCAAACATTGCCGGGCGGCGGCGATAGCTTGGCCGTGAGCTCCTTCTCTTTCTCCACGTTCTCCCTGAGCATTTCTACTGCGCTTGGCGTCATCAGGTCCTTCAGCTCCTCACTCTGCATGGCTGCCTGTATCTTCGCCCAGCTGGCCGTCTTGTCGCTTGGCTCTCCCTCCTCATCGACATCATCGGCAGGTGCCAGGCCGCCGCCCCCCTTCTTGCCTCCGCTCTTTTTGCCGATGGCCTTCTTGCCCTTCTTGCCGATGGTCTTCCCGCGTGCCTTCTCGATGGTCTTCTTCACACGCAGCTTGTCGCGGTGGGCCTCAGCCTCCAGCATAAGCATGGGTGCGACCACCTGGGTCAAACGGGCGCCAGAGCGATGCCATGAAGCAGCGCATCCCTTCCCCTCACACACCTGTTTTTGGGTTGGTTTCTCCAACAGTTCCCGCCCGACCGACAATATGGTGTATCCAGAGTCACCAAACACCTCGTTGAACCCGCTCTCGCTGCACCACAGCATACCATCAAGCGCTATGGCTCTGCACGTGCATTTTTCTCACGTTTCAGCCCGCAGGTCGCCTGGCGGCGTCACTGAGTAGCACAGTCGCCAATTCTCCGAGACCAGCTTCAGCTCCCCATCCTTCACGATTACGTAGCCCTCCTTGAGTGTCTTGTCCAGCGAGTTCATTTTTTTGTCGAAGCCGCCAAGTCTCTCGCCGACATCTATGTATTCCACCTCGAACACGCGTATTGGCGCGGCACTGCAGCCCGCCAGGAAGACCAGGAAAGCGAAAACTATCATCACCGCTGGTCAGATGCAGCCAATTTACATGACGGCGAGGATGCATCGGGGCTCATCATCCATCCATCTGTCTGTCCATCTGTCCTTCCATCCATCCATCCATCCATTCATCCATCCATCCACACTGCCATCCATCCATTCATCTCTGCGTGTCCGTGCTTCACACCGCGTTCTTCAGAACCGCTCACCGAGTTCGAACAGGGCAGTTGCGAGCCACTATGTCACACACACAGCCATTCACCACTATGAGCACTTCCTGTGTGTCGCCATCCATCCGCTCACCATGCTCACGTACGCGGCGTCGTCGACTTGATACGGCGACGTGTCATCATCGGCGTGACTCATAAAGATGAGCTGCCCCGCACACAGACACACACACACACACACACACAGACAGAGAGAGAGAGAGAGAGAGAGAGGATGAGACAGATTCACTCATTCACTCATCCCTATGGCATACCTTCACGTTTGTGAGCAGATGGATGGTCGCTGCCAGCACGATGCCTGCCACCGCCCAGGGGAGACCACCTGCCGCGGCAAGAAGACCACTCACACTCCAGACCATTAGACATATGCCGATGACTGACGAGAAGAACAACCAAACCGAGATATGGAAAAGATCATTGTGAATCTCGCCATCCGAACCGTTGTTTGCTCCACTGATGGTGATGAGCGCCGCAGTGATCACGACGGGCATCAGGAGTCCGTTGTCGATGGGCACCGATGCGGTGACTGCTCTCGTGGCGGATCAAAGTGGTCACTCAGTCTGCCATCCTTCTTGCAGCCAGCTCACTGGCCGCTATCTTCTGTCGTTCGTTAACTGTGTGCTTGGATACACCAGACAGCCCCTTTGACGAGGGCGGCGAGGCCAACGCCTGACTGGTAGCCAGATAGGTAGGTAGATAGATAGATAGGTAGGATAGATGACCTGCTGTCCACTCGGCGGAGCATGTTGATATGTGCTGGAGGCAGCATGGCTGGAGGCTGACTTGACTAGCTCTAGGTGTACAGAGGTGCCGTGCCAGAGGATTCATTCATGTGGCGGAAGTGTCCGTGTTGGTGTTGCCACCGAGAGACCTTTCGTGCTGGTTTTCACATGTGTTGACGAACTGTTCGTGTGTTACTCACTCATGAATGGTCACATTCAATGGTTTGCCAGAGCAAATCCGATTTGTCGAGTGTCTGCGTCTGTATACACACACAAACCGAGACACAGACAAGATGAGCACGCACCAGAGAGAAGCACACTGTGTCTTGCACCTACCAAACGCTGCCACGTAGTTGCGCAGGAAGACGTCCCCGAAGGCCCAGAGAGGTCCGCGAGGTGGCGGCACGTCCAGCGCGAGGAATGAAGGCACGCACTCCTGGAATGAACAACACGTAACGAGGTTGTGTGTCTCTGTTCATGTGTGTCAGTACCATTTCGCCCTGAAGTGTGTAGTCGTCGCCAGACAGAGTTGCAGTGAACGTCCCACCTGCACAAAGACGCACCGTGTCAGGCGCAGAAAACCAGGTCAGACAAATGTTGTCCTCTCGTTTTCTTGTGACACCAACCACTGTTGTCTGCGAATACGAATCTGAGGACAGGGAGAGATGGGAGGCGACTGCAGCTGCTTCCTGGTCCTAGCACTAGACGCAACTTCCTCATGTCGGTGCTGGGCAAGGAGATCGAGCTCGAGCCTGTGTCGATGACTGCTCGGCAGGGCATCGATACGCTGCACGACACATCGGCAGGCTCCCCGTCGGCAGCGACGGACACGAGGTGGACCTCCCACAAGGATGATGATGTCTGATGAAGGTGGAGACACAGCACACCTTTGTTCGCGAAGCTGTCTGTCTGGCCGTGCCAGCATGCGTACCGTCTTGAGCCACGTCATTGTATGCCCTGGGTGGATGGCACTCTCGTCGATCGAGCCGAAGGTGATGCGCCCGCCGTAAGTGGGGTCCTTGGCCAAGTAGACAGTGAACATCGTCCGGTCGAGCAGCGACTGCTGCTGAAGAGTGTCCATGAGCGAAGGCACGTTGGGATCAATGGATGGACTCAGACCGCAGAGTCCGTCGAAGGGAAGGTTGGCGAAGGGAGCGTCTGTCTGTGTGATGGCCAGGCCGAATGTCTGCTCGGGAACCTCGACGCCTCCGGACAGCACGACACGATCGATGCCCAGCTCGAGCTCCACCTCACCAGTCCCTGTGTAAGGAGAACGGACAGAGACATCCGTCGATTGATGAATGAATGAATGGATGTGTGTGTTTCAAATTCCCACCGTATTGGATGGTTGTGTGTTGGGCTGGGCGGATGTGCCGGAAAGTGCTGGACCTTGTCTCATCGAATCGTGAGTGGACGAGACAGGCGTTGTCAGAGCAACGCGCACTCGGCACCTGACATTCATTTGGAGCAGTGACATGCATTATGCGAGAGGAATGCACAGCCAACTTCCATACCCAGAGATGCGTAGATCCGCTGTCGAAGACACAGTCGAACACCTGCACAGACGATTGGAAACGCAGACGAGCGCAAATCCCTTAGTGGAGACACAGAAGTGCTGTATGTATCAATTTGCTACATATTCTTGCCTGCGGCGGTGACCCGATTGAAACCTGGCCGAAATACTGCGATGACTGTGCTTTCAGCTTGCCAGTCGCCGCCTGCCACTTGTCTGCATGTCGCGACAGCATTGTGAAGCGCACATGATTGGGCGTCGTGTTACAGGGCACTTACGGATGAACGGCACTGAGTTTTGCGCCTTGATGGATGGAACAAGTGAGTTGTCCAAACGATGGAAGATGTGCACAGCGCGAGATGATAGCACAGACGACACACACAGACTGAGTGTAGAGACCAGCACCAACATGAGCCCATCCATGGCTTTGAGCATCGCGGGTGCCGATTGGGTGTGTGCTGTTTGTCTGTCAGCGGCGGTGTGCTGTGCAGCAACAGTTGATCGATCTTTACAAAAGGACCCACGTCATGTAAATATACAGAGTCAGTCAGTCACACAACAGAGTCACAAGCATCCAATCATGAGAAGCAACCGACACACCGATCAAGCAGGCAGCCGGAGGTTTCCCCGTTGCGAGTGAAGAAAGGTTCTCGTTTGCCTAGACGGAATAGTCGCCTTCCGTCTGAATGAAACACCGAGACACACAGACACACACACAGAAGATCAATGCATGGTGTGCAACGTATAGACCTCTCTCTCACCTAACAACTCTGGAATATGCAGCGGCAGCTATTGCCGTAGATATTGCCTTTTGACTGTCTCTAAGGCTGTGCTCACTCCTTCCCTCGTTCTCCTCTCTTGCATCGTTCGTTCGCGTGCTGATGGAGTTGTGGTGGTCGACACGGACGTCGAGGGGCGAGACGACCATACACTCATGAAACGAGGTGTCTGGCCGCCTTGTCTGTATTGTTGGTGAAGGGTAGTGTCTCGATGGCACTCGCGCACTCACTTGGCCGCGGAAAGACATTTCAGGAGAGTCCCGCTCATGCTCGATGGATGACTCCTGCTGTGCCTCCTCTTGGATGTCGCTGCAGTGGCTGACGTTTTGTGTAGTTGTCTGCGGCCTGTCGACTTGATGGTGCACCGGTGCCCTCCTGGCGACGCCGGTGATTCGAGTGTCTCGCGTGTGAGGTCTCAATGGCCTTGCTTCGCCGAAGGACTCCCCGATCACCGGCAGGACAGGCGGCACGAACCTCTGGCTAAGTGGAGCGATGCGCCTCGTCCTCTCGGTGTTGAGAAAGAGCTCCGTCTTCTCCCTGGGCGACAGGGTGCTGGGGGATCCACCTGACGAATATCGCAGAGGCGGGGGCTCAGCTGGAGACTCGGCTCGTCTCTTTCCCCGCTGTATGGACTCCACTGCCAGCTCGCCGCTGTCGTCGCTCTTTGCAGATGAAGAGGATGTGATGAGGCTGCAGTGGAGGGCGACGGTCGAGAGCGCTGTCGACTTGCCCGCCTCGTCGCGGGACGCTGTGCTCTGATCCCGGAGGGAGTCCTCGCGCTCTTGCAGAGTCGGATCGAGACGCAGCTTCAGGAAAGGAGTGATACCGAGTTCAACTGATGCATCCATACATATAAAAGAGTTATGGCTCTGTGTGAGTAGTTCGCGTTGTGGATCGTACCTGGGAAGCCGGGACACTTCAAGACGGGTGCCTCGTTGCTCTTCTGCGGGGCAGGCACCGGTACGAGGCTACGCTGCTCGGGGGCGGCGTATGGGTCTGTCTGGACGCTCGCCTGGAGAGTCTTCTTTTTCTTTCTCCGGTCCAGTCTTGGCGTCAGCATGGCTGGCGTTCCCGTCGAATACGCTGAAGACTGCGGCAACACGCATAGGCACGAGATGGGAGACACGGATGTATGTGAGAAGGGATGGCCAGCCCTCACCTGCATGGACAGCTCAAGTCTCTCGATGAGCTTCTCGTGGCGTCTCATTTCAGCAGATTCCTCCCCATGATCTGATGCCCCCAGTGACTTGGTCTTTTCGAGGAGGGCCTCGTGCAGTTTGGTGCATTGATGCCTCTTCAGCTCCATCACACGCTGAAACTGATTCTTCGCTGCTGTTTCGTATGTGTCTAGCTTCTCCATGACAGCTTCTATCTCTGGGAGAGAGGCGCCCTTCATGTCACCCTCCATTTGTCTCAACCCAGGCGAGCTGATCTTGCTGATGACCATGGGCAGCTCGGCCATTGGGGTGTCGGATGCTGGCTTGAAGCGCTCGCGGGCGAGGCTCTGATTGGCGTGGGCAATGAGCAGGTCGATTTCGACCAGAGAGAGGTCTGTCTGCATGCCTGTGTGCTCCATCTGCGTGCCAATCGTGTCAGACACCAATTAGCACAGATACTTTGGCCACATGCTGTGCTCGTGCACCTCAATAAGTTCATATGTTGACGAGCGGTTCTTCGCCTTTTGGAAGGCACCCATGACACGACTCCTGCGCGAGTCAGTCAGTACAAAGGCCGGGTGCCCAAAGATACGAGAAGCACCGGTCGGTGCTCACATGTGTAGAAGCAGTGCTGCATCTGTTTGAGAGGCCGCATCTTTCCTCTCGACATCGTTGTTGGCTAGCGACTGCATGAAGTGCTGAAAGGCGTCGCTCTTTCGCTTGTGCTTGACCTTCGTGATATCAAAGTTGGGACCTTGATGGATCGCAAGAAAAGAGAAGGCGAGAGCAGGCCTCTTTGATGCTCAACTTGCCTCACCTAGTAGCTCCAAGCGAAGATCGTTCACAGGATTGAAGGACGCTAGCCTTTTCAGCGGCTCCTTGCCCTGAATGAGGAATGCAGAGACGCATAGGGCAAGACGCATAAGTGTAAGACATGGATGCTTACAGTTGTTTGTCTGCATTTGTCGTCGATCTGCACCAGCTCGTTCTCCATGGTTTGAAGGATGTGCCAGATTTCAGACTGATCCAACTCACCAAGCTGCAATCAGCAGTCACACGCAGTAGGCTGACGCCAAGGAAAGAAATGAGAGAAGGCAGCATTCCCACCTTGGCGACCAGGTCCTCATTATCTCTTATTCCCAACTTGCCCTTCAGCCGATGGAGATACACCTGAGACCACGTTACATGAGAGTCTGTGAATTCCTGCCTATAGGAGACACAGAGATCCATACCTGGTTGCTTCGTAGGCGGAAACACTTGCTGACGTAGTTCTCCTTGAGCGCACTGCACGGAAAACAACGGGAGACAGGAACTGAAAGACTCATCGTTTTCTTTCCGCCTCTCTTGTCTCACTGGAATCGTTGAAGTTGCATCGTCATTTCCCGGTCGAACTTGGCCTGCATTTCGTCTTTCTTTTGCGCCAGCAGCTGATTGACCAAGTCATCTGCACAGAGAGACAGCCGGGCAGAGAGTCATGCAATCGATGTGGGTACTTCTCATGTCCCACCGGTGATGTATTTCTCGGCATCGAAAAACGTTACTCTCTCGGCGTGTGTCGGCGAATCCGCTTCCGACCCAGCCCTGCTGAGCCCCCTGGATGAGCTACGGCGCGACCGAGTGAGCTGCGGACACATACATGTACGCGTGATCAATACACAGGCAAGTGATGGCACGTCGGGTGTGTGTACGTTTGTGCTCGTCTGGCACCGTATTTCACCTGGCTTCGAAGACTTGCTATTTCTTTGTGGAATGAGGCCAGCATGTCTTGCATGGCCTTCTCCTAACAAGAAGCAATCAACGTACTCATTGCACGCCGCATCCGCGTGTCTCACCTTTGATTCTTTCTTCCGGATGACGTCGTCTGCCTCCTGAAGCAGCAGAGCAGTGGGATGGGGACAGGTGCAGCCGCTGTTTCTTTCCCCGCACAGCTCACCTTTAGTTTCCTTTCCAACGCCTCCGTTTCCTTGACGATTGTCCAGTGCCATTCCTTGATGCGTCGTTCAGGATCTCGTGCGTCCTCCACTTCCCTCGGGTCGATGGCCTTCGAGGAGGCCAACGTCTGGAGGAAGTCTCGCAGAGCACACAGGGGGGCTGGCAAACCTGACGAGAAACGAGGAGTCAAGGCAGGTGGAGTGAGCCCCACTCACACCGACTCATACACACTCTTCGCTCTTGCTTGCCTCCTTGTGTTGCGTGGTGGTCGACGTGAATGCGAAAGGCGAGGTCGAGACCAAGTTGCCTTGGCCCAGCTACCCTCACCTGAATTCACACACGCACACGAACGAATTGATCGGTACATTGCAGAGAGGGGAAGGGACCACAACTCACCGTCAAAGTGTACTTTTCAGGTGGGGCCGATGCGTCTGCTTTGTGCTCCTTCACACGCATTCTTTCGCGTCGCTGCTCCTTTTTTTGTGGCGAGCTTCAAAACGATCGCATCCCGCAGTGAAAATGCAAGGCCATCTGCCTCGCCGCTTTGCAGGCAGCCTGTCCCGCTTGCAGCCTGAAAGCCGACGGCTCGTTTGCAGCATGGTGACCCTCCATGCTTGGGCGCAGCGAAGGACACGAACGACAGATGAGATGCCCATGAAGCTGCTCTGGGGCATCCCCACGATAGCACTGATGGCTTCAGCACTGCTGGAAAGGAGGACGAAGCGGCCTGCGATGAATGAGGCTGCTGCTTTGCCTTCGACAGATGGAATGGCACAATCGCCTTCCAGTTTCAAGGAAGATGATGACGGTGACCTAGATCCGCTGCTGCTATCGCTCCTATTTCCCTTGAGTGACGTGCCGGCCGACTTCAACTTCAATCGCTTCATCAAGGTCAGTGAGGGAGTTCCTCAGACAGACAGACAGATAGACAGACAGACTGACAGACTGACACGTGCGTGGCTGTATGTCACTGCATTCCCCTCCCTTTAGTTCGTCTTTGTCAACGAGCGACAGAAGGAAGAATGTCAACAGGTTGTCTTGAAGCTCATGTAAGCACTCGTACACGAGTCGTTTCTGCACACCATGTATGGTATGGTGTGCATTCAGGAAGAAGTATGCCGACGAATTCGATTTCTGCTATTCGCTCGTCGAGGGCAAAGCCCGGGAGACCACCCAGCAGTCTTCAGCAGCCGCGTCGTCACCCGAGAGCGACTTGCTGTCGTCCCTGCCCACCCCCGACCGGCATGTGATCGGCCTGCGTGTGCAAGTGGACTACAAGCAAACGATGGATATGGTCAGTGCAGACGACATCGACCAAGTCAGTCAATTGATCGAACCACTCCTGGTGCCGTCGGCACCCATACCACCACCGCCCTCTGCCGCTGGCGATGATAGTGGTGAGGGGCCCCCTGGTGTGGTGCAGGAGATCGTTTATGACAATTTTGTGCAAGAGGTGGGGCGAGCAAGGTACTTGGGAAGAGTGGGTGGATAGGTGCGTGCACCTCCCTGGTGCGTTCTCCGTTCTAGGTGCGCGCATCGTCACCTCTTCCTGCAGTGGTCATTCTCACCGCCGAGGTGAGACCCGATCGTCAATTATGTATATATGCCCCTGATGAGCGCCTGTTTATATTTTTATGTGTCCAGGACTGTCCTGTGTGTGCCCTGTGTCATGACCTACTGCCCGTCACTGCTGCGCTTCCTGCACTCCGCGACCGACTGCGATTCTTCCAATACAACCTCTCCAAGAACCACCTGCCACCAGGGATCACCCACGAAGAAATCACAGGTCGGTGGACAAATCAGACAGACATTGATGTGATGCTGACGCTTTGAAGCTGATGAGTAGTAAGTACATTTGTTTGACAATCCCGTGTTTGCAGGAACGCCAATGTTTCTATACTTCCCCCCTCCATCGGCGGCGGACCTCCCGACCGACCCGGCACTAGCCCCGCCCTTTGTCGAGCTGGCGCCGTTCGAGCTGCTCAAAAACCCGGCGGCAGTGCTGGCAGACAAGGAGACGTCCAACAAGGGCGACGGGTCGCATCCGACTGCTTTGGAGATGACTGCGTTCGTCGCTATCCCCTTCTGTTGGTACCAGGTGAGACCCGAGCAGTGCACACGACACAAAGGCTGGCTGATAGCGGCAGGCAGCACATGTGTCCTGATGACCTGGCTGCTCCCTCAGATTGAGGGCACGGAGAGCGATCGGGCCGAGGTCCTCGACGTGGTAAGCAAATTGTCTTACGACGTGTGTGAGCATATCTCTATCTATGTGTACGTGTTGTGTGCAGCTGTTCGAGTACATCGAGAGGGAGCGCCTCATGCCGTCCGACCTGACCCGGCCCATCCAAGACGCCATTGACAGTGCATGCCGCACGATGCGAGAGACCCGAACCGCTCAAACGGAGAGCAAACTGGTGAGTAAACCCGACAACAAGAGGTTTGTTTGACCATCTTTCCTCTGTTCTATGGCGCTGTCACAGTCGTCGCCCATCGAGTACGTGCAGGAGAGCATCGCCTACCGGCAAGAGCTCAGGTGACAGATACCCAGCTATGTGTCATTCTTGTTCTGGGTAGGTGTCACGTCATCGTGCAGGCGCCAGATGGAGTTCCTTCGGGCCATGATGGCCGGCGTGGTCGCGGCGAAGGAGGCAGCCAATGAGGAGGCGGCTGCAGCAGACGCGCCGTCTGCCGAGGGCGGCGACTCATGATGCGCACGCGGACTCACTTTCATTTCATTGCCATTTTGCAGTGGACAAAGATCTGCGTGACGTGACTGGAGGTGCATGTCGATGGCACCAAATCTGGCACAGCCCTCACGCATTCGAAGATCGGTCGGTCAACGTCGGTCGGTCGGTGCGCATTCGGATCGCTTCTCGGCCTGCGAGCTTAGAGTTCTTTTTGAGCGACAGGAATTCCTCTCTTGGCGTGCCCCTGATGTCTGTGTAGCACACCCTGGAAGCCATCGTAACTGTCCGTGCAGACCAAGAGTACACGCATCCTTAGGTGGTTGTTCTCGGCGTTGGGCACCATGGCGGCCTCTGCCTCTTCCGCCCACACCAGCAGCAGCTGCATGTCTCGCTGTCCCCACTTCCTCCGCATCACCACCGAGCACGGGGGCGAAGACGTATCAGACGGTGAGAGGGGACGGGACGCCCGTACACAGGCCGTAGACGAGCTGAAGAGAGCGTGCGAGGAGAGGCCAGCAAGGCTGGCATGGCAGCTTGCAACCTCACTTCCTCCCTCCCTCTACTCTGTGTTGTTGTGTGCTTCAGAGTCGTGGGGTTCGCTGATAGTTTGGGTTGACAGCTCCGACACGAATGCGCGGCTCTTCTCGCGTTCGGCGCTTCGCGTCAAGCAGATTCGGATGGAGGCCGTGCCCTACTGCAGCCCCTTCGCCGGCAAGATTGCCGGTGTGGACGTGTTCATGGGCGACTCAGACCGCACGGCCATGCAGATGGAGACGGTCAAGGTGGACAAGCTCATGGGCATGCTGGAGCGCAAGAGGAAGGACTTCGCTATCGATGACGCCGTCGTTCTGAAAAGAGATATGTTCTACTACCACGCACCCAACGAGGTGAGTGAGTCAGCCCTGACCACCAACAGATGAGGACCCCTGCATGCGTTTGCACTGTGTGTGTCATTTCATTGTGACATGTGACGTGACGTGGTTTCTGGTCTGTCAGCGGAGCAGCACGTATGGCGTGTACCTGCCGGTGCGGAATAAGCAGGAGCCGTACAACACGGCCTACATCCACCAGTACTGCCCCCCGTCGGTCAAGGGCCTCTCGCCCGTCGTCACTGAGCCGCTGCCGGCCCCCCTCCCCCCCTCCCCCCCACACAAGGCCGACAAGACACCCAGCAGGCACCCCAGCAGCCACCAGCCCGTGAGCATGCACGAGAAGGGCGAGGGCCGCACAGACATGATGGACGTCGACGAGCTCGGCGGCGATGTGCTCATGGGCATGGGCATGGGGGCGGGGCACTTCATGTCGGCCGACACGAGCAACCGCACCAGTGCTCACGGCAAGAAGCGCCACTCGCAGCACCCCCGGCCGAGCGGCCAGGCCTCGCACCCGAGGGCCACAGGGCAGCCGGGGACGACCAACCATCGTATGTCTACGGGCGGGGTGGGCATGACCACCCCATCACGCCTGCCGCCCCTGGCGCAGGCGCGGCAGCACAGGAGGGACAGCGGCATGGCGGTCGACTCCAAGAAGAGGCCCTCCGTCGAGGTGGTCTCAGTTGATGGTCAGATACCAAACCAAACCACACCGCACACGCGCACCCGACGGACTCACCTGTCAACTCTTATTTGTCTGTTGTCACCAGATGACGCGTTTGACGCGTACGTGCCTCAGGTACGCGCACACACCGGCACGGCACGCACAGCACACACACACACGGACCGGCCGACATGCTCACCTGTTCACCTGCGTCTCGTTGTGTCTGTCGTAATGATATGATGACTGCAGAAGGTTGATGTAGTGGTTGAGAAGGACACGAGTACGGGGTTGCCCTTCATGGGTGGGGGTCGGTCTTCCAAGCGGCTGCGGGGCGAGCGCATGGTCCACATCGAGTTGGGGGACCATGGCAACATTTATGCCCAGAGGCGATGATGGATGGATGGACGGGCGGATGGATGGATGGATGCCATGACCACCGACACGACACACACACCTATAACAATGAGATCTATCAGTCGACACATGGCATGGCATGGAAGGATCGATGGGATGGACGGATGTGATGTACAACACCATGCCATGGACAGACACACCCGCTCACACGCGCACTTACACACGCAGACGGCGTCACTCGCGCGACACGATGCCTACTCGGAGAGAGAGGGGTGTATGTCTGTGTGTGTGTGTCGTGTCCGTGTGAGTGGGTGCGTGTGTGTGTGGGTGAGTGAGTTGGTGCCTGTTTTGAGCGCCCTCGTAGTGACCCTCTCCTTGTGTAGAGTGATGTCGCTACGTACTTTTACCAGAGCGACGGACGGACGGACGGACGGTTAGTTAGGTTAATTCAGCAGCAGCGGAGGAAATTGTATGCGCGCCTGTTCGTGCGGGGTGTGTGTGTTTATGAGAGAGAGGGAGAGGGAGGGCGGGACCATCGATCGACTCTCGCATCATCCGTCATTCAGTCAATTCGACTGCATGGTGTCTCTGTCATGGTATGGTGTCATCCATCGCCACTCACACGAACACACACGCACACCCAGAGTGGAATTAGGTCCATGCACATGTGGCCCACGGACACGCACATACAACTAGGCAAGGGGACACAACACGCACGCACAGCACAAAACAGGAACCAACCGGCACAAAAGTCCGTCGGCCATGCGCATATATGACAATGAATGAATGTTGCAGGTACCAACCAACCAACCATCGCCATCGCTCACACTCATCTGCACGCGCCATGCAGAAAGGCAGGCGGCGCCGTTATCATTAATTTGACAAACATTTCGCCATCCTAATGCCTCGGTGCATCGGCATTCGCTCCGCGTCAGCAAGCTCTTTGCGAGAAGGACAGAGAGGCGGATGCGCTCCTCAATCGATCTCGCTGAAGAGCTCGCGACGGGGCGCAAATGACTGATGCACACACCAAGACATCACATCACACCGCTCAGAGACAAAACAGAAAGCCATATGAATGCGAAGATGGCGCGTGAGTGTGCTACTGAGGTGGTATATGTGTGATGCGGCAGCCCGCTTGGCCTCGCACAGACGAGGGCACGGCGGTGTGCCACAGCTGTCATACGAGCCACTGCCATACCACAGGAAGAAGCTGATTTATCCAGCCAGAGAGAAGCCAATCAAGGAATGGTCCAACACTGATGTCTGCCGTGGGTGTTGGTGCCGCCCTTCGTTCCTCCTGCACCCGACGGATGCACTAGCGGGTGCGCGACGGTGCGCAGCCGCTGAGGCATCCGCGACGAACAAGCGAAACGGCGAAGGAAGGCACCACCCCCCACAGAGACTCACTTCACAGGAGACACGCATAGCATAAAGCCATTTAGCCAGTGATGCATAAGCGATACACATACAGACAGACAGACAGACAGGCAGGCACACCTGAGGCTGACAGGGAAAACAGCTGCCAGTGAGCCAAAAACGGCTCACGCATACACACACACCACAGCCAACCCGCCGCATCCCATCCACACACGCCCCGCCCCCTATGTGCTGGTGCCGGCCAAAAACACGGCAGCGCAAAAAGGATAGCAGTACACACGACATGAGACGCCACGGTGGCCACACTGCTCATTCATCACAAGAAAAGTCCCGACCGTTCGCCAGTTTGGGTGGCGACGCTGACTTTGGGCGCCGCGCTCTCCCTGGCGAGCCGCTCGCGGATGAGTGTGCTCGTGGCCTCCTGGCTCAGACACATATCCACTGCCAACACGTGACCTAAACACAGGACCAACAGACAAACACCACAGCACAATGAAGTCGCGACACCAACAAAAGCAGCGTGTGTGTGCGGGTGTGTGTGTGTGTCAGCTGCCTGCCTCACGTGTGCAGAGTTTGCATCCGTCCTTGACGGCGTCCCGTTGTCTGAGGGCCTCGAATATCTCGTCGACCCGCTCCTGCAGCCCGGCGGGCGTCTCGCCCTCAGCAGTGGGAATGGTGTCCTCGGTGTCGGCCGACTCACGCGCAGACAGCTGACGACCAACCATCATGACATGAGTGACACAGTATGTTAGGATGTGAGCGGGGATGTGAGCGTGTGGTGGTGTGTTGTTTGGCGCACCGCACCTCGCTTTTCTCACGGTCAAGGTCCTTCTCAAGGGATAGCCTGAACGGACAACCACACACACATCATCCACATAAGACACCGTACCGTGAGTGTCCTGTCCTGCAAATTCCTCTCATTCCCCCACGCCCTCCCTCCCTCACTTCATCTCATGCGCCTCGGCTGCTGCCTCCTCCTTGGCCGCTGCCATCAGCTGCTTGGCCCGCTCACGCGCACGAGCGACGATGTCCTCGGCCTGTTTGTGGGCCTGCTTGATGCGTCCCTCGAGGTCCTGAGGGTCCACCTGCGACCATCCGGACACCTCGCTGAAGGTCTTGCGGTTCCGCCGCGGCAGAATGCCGTTGCCCTTGGGGGCATTGTCGGGGATGCCCTCCATGGCGATGCGCATCATCTCGCTCCGCAGCATCGCACCCGACTTCTTCTTGGGTTTGGGCTTGAAGCTCCCCAGGCCGGTGGCCCAGGATGCCATGGCCTTGAGGCCGCCCTTCTTGGGCCGGCCCGGAGGGCGGGGCGGCGGGTGGGAGCCGCTGTGAACCACCACACGCGAGAGCTCCTCGCCCTCGCGCATCTTGGCCTCCAGCTTGATCAGAGCCGCGTTGAGGTCCGCCTCGGTGTCGACGCGGGGCGCCTCCATCGACTGGGGCGGTGTCCTGGACCCTTTGCCGAGCTTCGGAAATGAGAGCTTGAGTAGACCGCGGCGCTTGGCATACTGCTTCTTGATCTTCTTCTTGTCTGCGGTGGCCTGTGCGGCGGTCTTGCCGCCGTCCGCCGGGGCGCCGTTGGTGAAGCTGACTTGGAAGAGGTCGCCCTCCGACTCCCATCGCTTAGCGTCGCTCTCACGGCGGGTCAGCTCGGCCTCGCGGTGGGCTGCATAGTTCCTGAGAGGAAGAAGTTCACACCACACACAGACAGGCGCAGCACAACACACAAAGGGAAACTTGAGATGTGCCGTTGGTTCTGGCTGTTGCGACAGCGGCGCGCTGCTCGTCATCTTACCAGTCTGCGAGGATGGAGTCCGACTCGAGTCTGGTGACGCCCGCAACGTCCCCCGATTGGGAGGACTGGGACAGCATCCCGAGGACGCGCAAAGGGTTGCGACTTGCCTCAGCCAGCTTCGAAAAATCCGAAGTGTCGGTGCACTCCCTCAGGATGGTGCACACCTCGTCGCCCTGCGAGATCAGCAGCTCAGCGATTTGCGAGCTTGAACATACATATACAGCACTCATATCACGCCAAAATGGCATCGTTAGCTGTTGCTCCTGTGCCGCTTGACAAGGAGGCATGGGAGAATGTGCCATCCATCATCTTTTCGTCCATCAGAACCATGGCCATCAACCAGGTGAGGCGCAGGACACAGGGACTCCCAGCATGTGCTGCGGTGCTTGTGTCTTCTGCAATGGTGGTTGCAGAACTCGATGAAGAACTGGGCGATTGGCATGGAGAACAAGCTCACCCAAGTGCAGAAGACACTGCACGAAGACGGCCCCATCATCTCAAGGCTGGTGAGGAGGG